GTAGGTAAACGTCGTTGTGCTCCGGACCGTGCGAATATAACTTCAGAAAACCTTGGAGTTTTTTCAAACTGTTTTCTCCGATGGGGATATAGTGACCTCGTGGATGAGCCCCCCCCCCCGCCCTCTCCGAAGATTCGCGACAGTATCGTACAAGGCCGCATTCCCCATTCGGAGATACGCCTTGAACCAAGGCACAATCATTGTTCCCGGTAGGATAACAGCGTGATGGCGATGACCTCATCGGGGAACACAGGCCGGATTGGCATACGCTGTGGTGCGATCCGTGGACGATTTCTGACATTTTGTTGCAGCGGGATAAGTAACGCGATTCGGGAATAGCAATGAGAAAATACAGTCAAACATGAATTGAGTAAAAAATCGCCAGAAAAGATTTTCTCTCTCTCTCTCCAGTTTTCCGAGTTGGACTTGTTTGGTTGGTGTACGTCAGCGATTTGTTTCCGTCTCCGTTCAGTTTACGTCTTCGTAATTGGTTGACAGGAGACACTGAAGAACATGGCAGAAAACCCACCGCCATGGTCTTCTTGTTAGCGTTAATCGTCGGCCCGGAATATTTGATCAGATGTGCATAAACGGTGCGGATGTGTGTATGACCAAAATAGTTCACTTTTGCTCCCTCCCCCTCCTAAAAAACAGATTCACTTCTCAGGTATTGTGAACGATCGGTGTGGTTGTATTGTACTGTGTATAACTTTTGCAAGCACTGAAGCTCACATTTCAGTTAATAAATCATACACGCTAACCGTCAATGTACACATACTATGAAACATTTTCACAGACATGAAGATATTTCATGACCCAAGGTTAAGACAAAGTTCACTTATTGTCCGCTCTTTGTTTATGAGTAAACGAGCAAGATACGGTATGGGTGGGTGAATTGCGGTATGCATTAATTCGAGATGAAATTTGGCGGAATTGGGAGTTGGAAGTTACGTGATACTCTGAAAGCTTTACAGCTAATTCATTCACAGGAATAGAAGAGACACGACTAACAATGATTAGACCGCGGTGTAAGACTTTGACGTCCGTCATTCTCCGCCGATTGTANTTCACCCTCCGACAGCTGCTAGAGCACCGTCATGCCCACCAAAGACCAACAGTCATTGTATTCTTAGCAATTCGCGTGGCCTTCGGCTCTGTCGATAGGACCGCAATATGGAACTGTTTGTTGAGGAATGGAGTACCGAAGAAGTATGTGTCGATCCTCAAAGAGTTGTATCGTCATACTTCAGGTCGAGGTAGGGCCTATGGCCAGCTTTCGCCACCCTTCGAAGTCTCCAGTGGAGTTCGACAAGGCTGTCCTGTATCCCCATTCCTTTTCAACTTTGTCATAGAGGATGCTCTACAGAATGCTTTGTCCAGTCTAGCAAACGGTAGAGTCGAACTCCTCCCAGAAAATAGAGTTCTTGATTTGGAGTATGCCGATGACATCGCCTTGCTAGGTGACTACACACAGGCAGTCCAAGAGGCTTTGAACCACTTGGCGATCAAGGTAGCCATGGTATGTGCTTTGCACCTTCTAAGTGCAAAG